TTTTTTCTCTCTCTCTTCGATATCTGTCTATTGTAATATGTTGCAACTTATACTCATCTACATCTTGTTGAAGCGAGCGTTCTTGAGGGCAAGATATGACGGTTAAAAAGCCTATGGCAGGAACCCGGAGTTCAATAGATGGCTCTTTATAGTGCTACCATTTTCTCAACATATAACGCAAGAGGGAGAGGACACACTTCCTACTTTCGCACTGAGGTTCATTTGGTGGGACTTTTCTTCATGTGAGTGAGACTATCGAAACTGCCTGGAAACCAAAAGGAGAACAACCCCTTTACCAGCTACCATCACCACCGCGAGACAAGACTTGTGTGAGAAACACGGAGACCGGTGAACACCGTGACCCTTCCTCCTCTGCAAGAGGGCAACCCTCACCAAATCCGAAGCCGGGAAGCGCCACTCGAAGGCGGCTCCTCCTCCTCCTGCTCCTCGTCGGAAGCAGCCTGTTCCTCTCCATCGGGGGAACAGTTGAGGTTGCAGGGCGTCTCGCAGCGGCTGATGTAGTCGGGGGCTTCGTTCCTGCAGCTGCCCTGGCAAGCGCAGAGGAGCTCGACGCGGGATACTTCCGGCTCGGCGGGGTCGCAGATGCAGACGAACAGGGACTCGGCGATCTGTTCGGCCTCCGGGGTTGCTGCGTCATGGCTGTCGCTGGCGTCGTCTCCGTCGTCCCCGTTGTCGTCCCCGTCGTCGGCTCCGTCGTCGTCGGCGCAGTTTATGCCCGGGGTGGCGCAGTAACCCTCGACAAGCTGGTCCGGGGTGTAGTCTGCGGATGAATGTGCGTTAGGGGGGTCCCAGTGACAGATAGCAAGGAGTCAGTCAGGGGGGTTGGAAGACGGAACGGAACGGGTCGACTTACTCAGGTACTCTTCGAGGACCTTGCCGCAGTACGTGGCGCCGCAGACACAAGAGGGGGCGTTGGTGGGCCCGGCTGGTCCGGAGGTCTCCTCGGCAGTCTGGGACTGGGTGGGTGTGCCTACGATTACTGTGACTGTCGTGTAGGAGGTGGACAGCTCTGTGAAAGGCTCTGGCACGGAAGGTGTCGGGTTGTCCTCTTGGGGCAGGGCAGAAGCCCAGCCGAGGAGGGATGTCAGGGCGGAGAGAAAGACGTAGGTTTTCATTGTGACTGGAGGAGAGGAGGAACGAGACAATTTGAGTAGACGGGATATCAATGTTATCAAGTTGAGGAACACTGGGAGGGTTCGAGACGTGTGGAAGGTAATGAAGAGATGGGTCTCCGTTCGCATGGGTCTTATAGCCCCGAGCTTGGGAGGGCAACCCTCATGATATGGAATACTGGGTCACGGTTCACGATCAATCACTGAGATGATACTTGGCCTTCTGAGGCTAAAGCCGTGTTTGCTGCGGACGACTGACGGGTATGCATCTGCCCATGGTCTTCCCCCATGGCTATACAGAAAGGTGAAACCGTGATCACGGTATGGTTCCGTCTGTGACTGTTTCTGTGCGAACGGAGAAGGAAAATGGGACACATCTCGTCATCTTCCGGGGTTCATACAAGGAGAATCAAGAGAGCTGTGAAGATCCGCTTCAGGTGTGTTTCCTAAGAGGGGTTCACTCATGTTCAACAGGCTCGGAAATCAGGTGGGACAAGAACGTCCTGTTTGTGAGTGAGCCGAAGAGGAAACCGAACACTACGGCAACACCAAAAGCCGAGGAACCATCTGGGATGTCGGTGAAATGGACAGTCAACATGCTCAACAGAGCCTCCCCGTAAGAGGCACCATTCGCCAGATGAAACAAAGTCCGGATTCGAACAGCAGTGGAAACAAGAATTCACCCCGTAGCCGTGTAGCAATCGTGAGTTTGTTAAACATCATATAGTGTGCCAAGTGCACAGCATTCATGAGGCGAAGTTGTCTCCCTCGAGACGACTGAGATGGTTTCTGTGCTCGAGAGCGTTCAACGCATCGCGGGACTGCCGCATGTCTCCTATCACTAGACAAAGCACGACAGCATGTGGAACATGTCTGACTGAAGGGGAAAAAGAAAATGATGGGTAGTAGCCTGGCATGCCATTTCGCTGAGCGCTCTAAGGAGATGTCTTGTCATACCTATTCAGAAGAGCTTGTCGAGGGAAAGGGGGGAGTGGATGGTCCGACCCTATGAACTATTGTGAACTATTATTCTGGAAGCTTGCTCATGAATATTGAATATGTCGAATGGAGCCTATATAGTATTATCCAGAGGACTTGAAAGAGATCCTCTCTTGAAACCGATGACGGCGTCTGTTGACGGTTGGTTGATGAAGATATGAGTGAGAGACTTGTTGAAGTGACTTGAGCGATGTCACGAGGCGAGTGTGGCGTTGAGGCCCAAAAAAAAGAAAAAGAAGTCCCGCTTCCACACTGTATACCTAGGTACATGTCAGGCACAGGGTCCCACCACACCCCGCCATCCCACCTTCCGGTTTCCACCTTAAGCCGTTCAGGTTCTGTTTCCTCAAGTCGATTGTACCGAAATCTCGTCCTTCCACTCGAGAAAAACCGTTAAACCGTTCAAGTATCGAGTCTTCAAATCAGCCCTGCCCCAATTTACACCATTCTAGAGGCAGGCAAACGGTCTACTTGGCCTTGCATCTTTCCACCCATTGAATTACCTCCGCACCTCGTGGGTGTTTGAACGTCCCACCACCATGGCTACCCCTCCAGCTCCAGCAGTGGGCGTTCCCTCGTCCGCCCCGACCATCCGCATAGGCACGCGCAAGTCGAACCTCGCCATGAAACAGACCCATATCGTCCTCGAGGGCCTGAAGCGTATCCGGCCCGACTACAACTACGAGATCCACAGCATGGCCACCCTGGGCGACAAGGACCAGAACACGGCCCTCTACAACTTCGGCGGCAAAGGTCTCTGGACCAACGAGCTCGAAGCTAAGCTCACAAACAAACAACTCGACGTCATCGTCCACTCGCTGAAGGACATGCCCACCGTCCTCCCCCAAGGCTGCGTCCTGGGCGCCGTCACCAACCGAGAAGACCCGCGGGACGTTATCATCTTCAAGGCCGGCACCGAGTCCCAATACAAGACCATCGCCGACCTCCCCGCCGGCAGCGTCATCGGCACCAGCAGCGTCCGCCGCATGGCCCAGCTCAGGAGGAAGTACCCGGGCCTCGAGTACGCGGACACGCGCGGCAACCTCGAGACCCGCCTGCGCAAGCTCGACGACCCGGAGGGGCCCTACGCCGCCATCATCCTCGCCGCCGCGGGGCTACTCCGCATGGGCTACGACGCGCGCATAGGGCAGTACCTCGCCTCGGACCAAGGGGGGATCCTGCACGCCGTGGGCCAGGGCGCCCTGGGCATCGAGGCCCGCGCCGACGACGACCGCGTCCTGTCGCTGCTGGCGGGGCTGGAGGACCGGTCCACCCGGTTGGCCGTCGAGGCCGAGCGCAGCCTCATGCGGACGCTGGAGGGCGGCTGTAGCGTGCCGATCGGGGTGGAGACCAGCTGGCACGACGAGGGTGGCGCGAAGCTGAAGTTCAAGGCGACCGTGGCGCACCCGAACGGGACCGAGGCTGTCGATGGCGAGAGGTGGGCGGCTGTTGATACCCCGGAAGCCGCCGAGAGGTTGGGGAAGGAGTTGGCGCAGGAACTGGTCGAGAAGGGTGCCCAGAGGATCTTGGATGAGATCAACAAGGCCCGTGCGGAACATCAGGCGGCTGCGCCCGAGGCTGCTTCAGTCTCGACCTAATTGTCTTAGGGGTGCTGCTGCTGGGCTGCAGTTTAGGTTGATGGATGATGGCAAATGGATGATGATGAATAGACGGCGATACAATATCACGATGGTCGGGGCTTGGTCGGCATAATATCGAGACGGAAAAAAAGCGAAGGCATATATAGCCCTGGAAAAATGGCTCGGAATTGCTTTGCATTTGATCTTTGCATGTTTTGCTTCTTTTTTTTCTTTTCTCGGTCATTTTCTCCGTTCGCCCCTCTTGTATATTATACTTAGCCTGCCGTTGAAAGCCGAAACCCAGTGCAAAACCCCCGACGCCAACATGTGCGGCTCTGGTTGGGGACAGTCCGCTGCATCTCCCTTTGGCATGCGGGGCCCGAAGGCGTAATGAACAATGGAACCAGGTTGAACTCGTCACTTCCATCCTCCACCATACGCTATACGGCTGCATCCATTCCCCCGGTCTCGACCCAAATTGATTCGGACTTTTAAAGAGAACATCCCGCCGAATGATGGCGCCCCCATCCGAAAATGGGAATGCCTTCCTTATCGCATCTACTCGTGCAAGGTAGCGGTGAACTCCTTGTAAGCCTCGAGGTCCAACAGCCCCTCAAACTCCTTGAGACCCTGCTCGTCCACCTCGACGCGGGCCAGCCAGCCACCGCCGGCGGCGTCGTCCTCGGGCACGCGGTTGATCTTGGCCGGCTTCTCCTCGAGCTCGACGTTGGACTGCACGATGCGCAGGCTGACGGGGGCGTTGATGTCGGACGCGCTCTTGACCGACTCGACCGCGCCGATCGAGTCGCCCTGCGCCACCGTGGCGCCCTCCTCCGGCAGCTCGACGTAGACCACGTCGCCCAGCGCCTCGGCCGCGTACTCGGAGATGCCGATCACCGCCGTCTTGTTGTCGGCGTGGAGGTCGATCCACTCGTGGTCCTTGGTGTATTTTCGGACCTCAGCTGTACATGACGAGGGGAAAGAGAACTGGCCGTTAGCGGGAGGCAAACTTGGCGCGAGGAGAGTGGGGGAAAGAAAAGGAAAAAAAAGAAAAAAAAAACAGATAGAGGCCATTGTAAAAGGGCCTTCGGTGACGTACAGATAGGAGTCGCGGAGAAGCATCGCTGCGTGGGACGGTAAAAGACTGGTCGGGATGTCGCGGCAATGGGCTTGGAGATGGTGGACAGAACAGAGGGGCGGGCAGCCCTGACGCAACGAGCGATTGAAGCCATGGTGGGAAGGGACAACAGAAAGAAAACGGGTTTCGATAATAGGTGGGAGACGTGCTGGACGGAGCGGTGAAGTTTTTCGGAGGATTGTGAGGGAGAGGAGTGTGTGTTGTCCGACCGAGGACTGAGATACCAAAAGAATTGATGATGCTATCGGCACACATCGGTCCCTGAGCAGTGGTGCCATTGGCCAGTCATGTCTTTCGTTAGATAACATGGTTATCGGCTGTACTCCGTGCCTGTGCCAAGGGTACATACCATCCGAGGGAGTACTTCGTACAAATGCCAAGTCCGGATTCCGGAGATACTATATGGCCGGGGAAAAGAGCATTGTGGGATCCTGGACACCCTCTCATTCAATCAATACGACAACACTCGCACCCATTTTCCCAACACTCACACTACGTCGAATCAGACGTCAATTGTACAAAATCACCGGACCGTCAACTGAGCTGCGGGGTTGTCAGACAACGGCTTTCCAGGCTCTCCCACCGCCTCGGACACTTGGGACCACCGATGCCCACACGCCTTCAAAGGTATTCATCTTGTACGAGAGGCCATGCGCATATTTGTATTTACCCCGATATGTTACACGTTCAAACAGCACTTGGGTGATAATTGTGATGATGATGGTCTCATTCGCACGTGCCTATAGTGAGGCAAGAGTCCTCGGGGTTCGGACATCTCCATAACAAGGGGGACCTTTGGGAGAGACCGGATAAGATCCAGATAGAGCAGTACTCACTAAAGGGTTTGCACAACCTTGATATAATACACACGAGATTTCTGCTCAATCAGGATTGTCATCATATCGTCACCTAAGTGCTATTCAACGTATACCATGTTCGACACCCTTTTAGCTGAATAATTCGCAATTATTCGTACTTGTGGGTATCTGGCTTGCTGCCCACCGGCCCCCTGCAGCTGACCACTGTTTTTGGGTGCTTCAGGGCGTCCAGTGCTTCGCTAAGCGCCTGATCTTCAGGGAACGATCCCCCTATAGTCCACTGAGGTCCCTCGCCTTAGGGTGTACGCCAGCCAATGAGAGTCGAATATGTGACCATCCCCTTTCCTGACGGCCAATGGCCCACACCACCACTCCTACCAACTTTCTCCCATCCGAATATCATATCACTATCTAGTACCCACTTTCCCGTAATTGCATCCGACGACTTGGTCACCACCACTTTCGTGAGTTAGAGGCCCTGGCCAGGTTCCTGGTCCCGCTCTTTGGTTCACCACATTCTCTCTTTGCGTCACCATCTGCGTTATTCTTCCACTTCTCAGACTCGTCCGTCTTTCGGTGTATCCCTACTCTCGATCTCTCGGTTCCGCTCCCACCTCTCCTTCTCTCACGGTCTACGAGGGAATCGCCCAAATTCGTCTGTCTTTCCCTCTCTCCTTCTGCTACATTCGCGACATTATCGGCATCTTTCTTTGTGGAACCTTGTCAAGCTTGTCCCCACGTCAAAAGTTGAGGTCGAGCTCCCCCCCGAGTCTGACCCCTGTCTCGCTTGGTCTCCCGTTTTCAACGTGCCTTGGACTCCAAGTCTCTGTCTCCCTACGACCACGAACTGGTAAGTAAGATATGCTCTTCCCAAGCCCCATATCGATGCAATACCACATTTCCCCGAGTCTCTCCTCCTCCGTAATTTTCTGAGACCAAATTCGGAGTGAGCTTGAGCTTCCCCCATATGCATCAAAGGTGCTGGCGCTGCTGCTTCTGCCTCTGTAACCCTGTTGCACCCGCACTCGCACTGCCTCCGAAATACCTACATCCTCCACGCTATACCCATCCGGTAATCCAGCGTTCACTTCCCACTGAACACCCCAGCCAGGACCAGGAGAACGTTCCATTTCGTGCCATAGCCTCCCACGAACGAACATCGAGTCCGAGCCTGGTAACCGAAACGCACACCGTGGCCCTCACCCTCGTTTTCTGACGCCGCTCTTTCCGCCATCTTCTCCCTTTTTTCGTCCACCGACCGACTGAATCAAGCCGAACTCGCCCAACTCTCCCCTGCCAAGGTACCACCGACGCAAAAAAAAAAAAAAAAAAAAAAAAAAAACCCCAAAGCCAACCGAATTACCCGTCTCGTCGACGTCCCCCTTTACCCTCTTTCAGTCGACTGCCACCTCGCAAGCTCACCAAACCTTGAATTCGTCCGACTTTTCCTTTGGGTCACCGGCCCGGTTTTACGACCACGATGGAGAACCACCAAATGCCCCCGCAAGACGTCCACCAAATGGCACCACAGGACGTCCAGCAAATGCCATCTCAAGACGTCCAGCAAATGCCTCCGCAAGACGTCTACCAAATGCCACCTCAAGACATCCGCCAAATGCCACCCCAAGACGTCCATGACACCACCCTCGGCGGGCTCGAGGGATCACCTCGCGTCGGCCCCGAGTCGCCCACCCAGAACAACGGCTATCCTTACCAGGAGAGATATCACGGCCAATCCCGGTCCCTCGACCAAGGCCTCGCCGAACACCCTAGACCGGAGGAGGAGAGCAATCCCGTCCCTCCTCCTGCCGACGAACAGCGCTACGCCAACACTCCTCCCCCCCCGCCATCCGCCCCTCCAGCGTCCATCTCCCGTCCTCCCTCCGGCCTATCGGGCTCCGCACAGCAGGCCTACGGCGGCGGCAGCGACCATGGCTCACGCAGCGCAGAGCCCTCCACCAACATCAACGCCAGCCCCAGCCCCAGTGCCAGCGCCAGCGCCAGCGCCAACAATAACAATACCAACACCGCAGCCGCCAACGGCCGCAACCACGTCGTCATCAAAGTCGGTATGGTGGGCGACGCGCAGATCGGCAAGACGAGCTTGATGGTCAAGTACGTCGAGGGCAGCTGGGACGAGGACTACATCCAGACCCTGGGCGTCAACTTCATGGAGAAGACCATCTCCATCCGCAACACCGAGATCACCTTCTCCATCTGGGACCTGGGCGGCCAGCGCGAGTTCGTCAACATGCTCCCGCTGGTCTGCAACGACGCCGTGGCCATTCTCTTCATGTTCGACCTCACCCGCAAGAGCACCCTCAACAGCATCAAGGAGTGGTACCGCCAGGGCCGCGGCTTCAACAAGACGGCCATCCCCATCCTCGTCGGTACAAAGTACGATCACTTTGTCAATTTCCCAAGGGAGGACCAAGAGGAAATTTCCAACCAGGTATGGGTTTTTTTCATTTTCATTTTCTAAGGGCTGGGGTTGGTAGGTGGAATCGGGCGGGGGACATATCGTGAAATATCGTGCTGACACGTCAAAACGTTAGGCTCGTCGCTTTGCCAAGGCCATGCGGGCTGCCCTCATCTTCAGCAGCACAAGTCACAGCATCAACGTGCAAAAGGTGTGGCCCATAGTACTCCCCTGTCCTTGCTCCGTTGCGCCTTGCCAAGCTAACACGTCTCGCGCAGATCTTCAAGATCGTCCTCTCAAAAGCCTTCGACCTCAAATGCACCATTCCGGAAATCGAGAACGTCGGCGAGCCTCTCCTCCTTTACCAGACATGCTAAACAGTCCGGCGCATTACCCGGGGACGTCCGCAGCAACAGCAGTAATTAATGGTCACCTTGGAGGATCAGCCAGTCTTTTCCAACTACACTTCGCATTTCCCCTGCCAACCCATCCTAACACTATACTTTTTAATGGATCACGACTCATCACGGCTTGACGATACCAACGTGACAGATCCGTCATTGACCACAGTGCCAGTTACTCTGCCTGGTTCTCCCACAAGGCCGTGTTCTTCCGCCAACCGGGGGGATTTTGAGCCGAGGGGCAACCTACCTCCCCTACGAACCTGCCTCTCAGTCGTATGGATCCCCGTTACCTAGACCATGGCCTCAAGGCGCCCGAGTTGCCCCCAAGTTCACCAAAAATGAACACTTCCACTTTCTCGCCTTTTCCGTTTTCCTTTGTCGACAACATAACCACGCAAACCCCGCGTCTTTGCCACTTCGCAACTACAACTACACCGGGATATTAGTCGTGTCTTGTCAGCATTTCGAGTTTGCCGGCACCAAACCATAAACTAGCTGGCTGTTTTGCACTCGTAAAACAAAAAAGAAACAAAAGAAAATTTCTGCCTCCCCCTTTTCTATCTATTGATTCGGGTTGAGTCCGACCCGTGTTTGGGGAGGAAAAGGAGGAGAATCAGACATGTCGCATCATATTAGTGCCATGTCAAAATCTGATGGCTAGGATGCCACGGGCATCAGGCCCCTTGGGACTTGTGGATGGGTGGTTTGCTTTTTACACGGCAGCTAAGGCGTTTTCGCGAATCAGACCAGATACGCAGAGAAGGGAGGAAGAAACTATGAAAAGGGCGACGGAATGCTAGTCTTCTTGCTTATTTTTTTTTACTTGCGAGGTTATGTGAGTGGGATGGAGAGAAGATGTAAGATGGTCGGGCCATACCATGACCCAATGGCAAACTTCGTGCAACATTAACATCGTTGTCGCATCGTCCTTTCAGGGGTCATCGGAGGTGATCTTGCAGGGCTGGGAGAAATGGACATGAACTTCCCATGTCTTCGAACAATGTTAAGAGGAAGGCGAAGTATGAAATACTCTCAAAGCTATCCTACTCTGTACACCATGCTCCGTACTCAATACTCCGTACTCGATACTACCTTACCTTACTAATTACTACTAGTACCAATTAATCGCAACAGAATCCGACCATAGGTCAATTTGCATCCAACACCCAAGTCAACGATGACATCCCGCGAACCACCACCCCTTCCGTATGAATAGACAACCGCCCAAGTCCGCATCATCACTGGAGCTTTCTCGAATCAGTCGACGACGCGCATGATTCCTCGGCCTCTTCACCTGTGCTGCATACCTCCTCACCGCCGCTCCGTTGTCCACGAGACGACTTCGCCCTCTGCGATATTCCGTTAACAAGCCGGCGAGACGACGCTCGAGGACGAAGAACTTGCGAGTCATATGGTATAAGCCCTGCCAGGTATGGAAGAGCCGGCATCGTCGTCTAACGGTTGCTGCTGCTTCCCATGAGGTCCGGCGCCCGCATCGACAACCTGGTGGGTACTTTGTATCGTATCCCGGGACGCAACAGGAGGGGACTGAACTTCCTTTTTATCGGGGAGGGCGGTCTTTACAATTCCAGACTCTCCGATGCCGTCATGACTTTGCCGGCGCCCAACCTCCGCCTCTTCATTCGTCTTCCTCGGTGCCTCGGACTCATGGCTGCTGGGGACATTCCATGCCGCTGAAGGTAGCTCGCTGCTTCCGTTCGGCTGCGGGATCACGCGCTCCTCCTCCGGGACACGAGGCATCATCTCCGACAACAGCACTGCCTGGCTCATGTATGGATGCGCGTCGGCGTCATTACTAGACCTGCGAGTACCGGCCGTTGATGCAAAGACGCTTCCTCCGCGCGTGGTCGCTGGTACGGCCATTGGGGGATGCGGCACGTACTCCCCGGGGCGTCCGCTGGCCGCCTCTGCCTTGCTTTCGCGCAGTTTCTTGGCCTCGCGAAGAATGATGTACTCATCGTTGTCGTGGATGGCGCAGCAAGGTTCTACACAGATACCGAGCCAGTCATCTGCGGTCACCCTCAAGCCGTATCGGGCGGCGATCTTCTTTCGGTGGCTGTAGATAGGGAGCGAGTACAGACAGAGAGCTGGGAGGAGGGGTTTTTTTTGTTAGTCACATTCCGCTAACTCAACTTTCACCCAAGAGGCTTGTATTTTGTTGGGAGTGACGTACGAACAGAGGAGAAGCAGAGCCAGTAGCTAGAACTGCACTCCTCGGCATCCAACCCCAGGGCGGCCTTCCCGTGTTCCAGCCTGTTAAGCCGCTGGGCGGTATAGCCCTGGACAATACAGGGGCAGAAAGCCGATTTCATGTTCGTTGTATTGTTTTGACTCTTCGGTACGCTATTGGGAACGGCCCTCGGTCGCGACACGGGCTGCGAGGGTCTGGGCGATATTCGCGCTTTGTCGGCCTCGGCCAGCATTTTACGGAGCTCCTCGAGCTGCCTCGTCAGCTCCTTGGCGTGTTCGTCTCTGGCCTGCGAGCTCTTCCTGTCGACCCGTCCTCGGCGGTCTGTACTGAAGCTGTACCGGTCGCGGGGGGTGTGGCTGCCGATGCTGGTGCGACCCCTGGAGACCGCGCGCGAGGAAGAGGAGCCGCTGGTACCGTAGGCGTGGCCCGGGGGTTGGATAGAGATGTAAGTGCTGGGGTCCGGTATGTTGGTGGCCATTATGGGTGTATATAGGTAGGGAGGGAGAGCGTCTGTATAAAAAAAAATTGTAAAAAAAAAAAGAATGGATGAACGGTGAAGACGGGGCCAACGCACGTAATGGTGATGACGATGTGGTTTAAAATAATTTGATTAAAGCTCTTGCTGCAGGGCGTGTGGAGGTTACCGATGGGAGATAGAATATTGTTTGCGAATGTGGTTCGAGCCTCGGAGGTCCAGATGGAAAGATGGGCATGTTTTGAAGAACGGAAAGGCTTCAGCGGGGAGGTCATGACAAGTCAGGGATGCAGAAGAAGCAAGACCGAGGACGGCAGGCGCGAGTCTGAAGCGCTTGGTAGTCTTTGACTTTGCGATTCCGTGTGTTGAAACGTAAACTCATTTTTACTTGGGATGCCCCTGGCGGCCTGGCCCTATTGACATGAACTCCAAGTACCTACTCGCATTGTCCTGGGGTCGCACCTGACTTCATGGCTCCTGAGGTTGCGTAAACTCTTTTGTTGCGAAGGAGTGATGACTTTCCAAGTGGAGAGACGAGGAATAGGAGCGAGCGATTTCATCTCAGAGTTTGTGATGTTGATAGGTAGTCTCCAGCTATAAATCCAGGTCGTTAGAGAATCGTCGTAGGGACTAAAGACGTGCGTGCAACATCTTCGTCTTGAGGCCGACGGTTTGGCTCATGGCTCATATTACTCTGGCTTCGTCCTCGGGTTCGAGGTTTCCAGCATGCTACAGTAGGCTCTACAGACATGAGTGGTTTCAAGTAAGTGAGCATAAAATAAGGATCAGCGCATGCTATGCTAGATACGGTAGTTATAGATACGGTAGTTATAGATACGGTAGTTATAGATACGGTAGTTATAGACACGGTAGTTACTGAGTCCTATAGAGTACTTTGGAGGTCAGCTGTAATTACCTAAGGTAGGTACCTTAAGACGGCTTTGTACGGATAAGATAACGCAAGAGAGGTAGCGGGTCTCGGAGGGGGATCGGCCCGGTCAACAGCTTCTGTGGGGCTCTTTCTACCAAACTACGACAGTTGCGATACAACGTACAGCATTGTCCCTACCCCACCAAGTTTCAGTGGTCATCGTTGCTCTGGGAGGAGGCTGCCTGCTTCACCTTCAACCCCTCCAACCCTCCAACCTCCAACCCTCCAACAAACCATCTTGAGCTCCCTCTTTTCCCTCTCCTCCCTCTCCTCCCTCTCTGTCGATCCACCTTTTGAGAGATTTGGTGCCAGCAACCACGTTGAACATAACACATCTCTTTGCGGGACCTTCAAATATTTACCGCCTTACGCCCAATACCGACATAGAAAGGGAGACCCTCCCGCTCTATGGGCTCCTCGACCACTCGCCTCCCAGTAGTCGATTTCCTCACTGTTCCACACATATTGATCCTATTTCTCTTGTAGTGTCTTCTTCTCCTGGTTTTCCTTCTTTTATTCCGCTTCCAGAACCCCGGCCATCGACATGGCGTCGTCCACCCCCAATCCGACGCCGCAGATGGTGATGCAGCTTCTAAACAAGTTGTCCGAGGCCGACCCCGACTACCGCTTCATGGGCCTCAATGACCTCATCGCCATCTTAGAGAGGGCTAAGCCCGACTTCCTACATCACGATTACAATGTCGCCGCCCGCACTGTTGATAGCGTCATCAAGACCTTGGACGACCAGAATGGCGAGGTCCAAAATCTCGCCGTCAAGTGGTTAGTCCTCTCCCATGTCCATCGTCGGTTCCTTCGGTTGCCTTTGGTTCCTCCCCCGACAACGGTCCTTCGCTAACTTGACACCGCCGACCTACCACGCCAGCCTCGGACCCCTCGTTATCAAGCTCCCTCCGGCCGTCATAGCCCCCATGTTAGAAAAGCTCTCGTCCATCAAGCTGAAGAACTCCATCGATGGTGCCGTCCCGTCCTTGGCTCTGCGCACCGCCATCATGTCCCTGGCCCGCCCTATTCCGGGCGTCCCACCTTCTCGCGACACCCAGGAGGCTTATTCCGCCGTCAGTCGTGTTTTGATCCCACGACTGCTTGGCCCGGGCGACAAGATCCAACCCCCGCCATCCAAAGTCCCCTTGCCGCCCATTCCAGAAGGCCTGCTGCAGAACGACAAGGACCTGAGCCCTGAGGCCGTCGACGTCCTCGTCGAGGTTGTCAGGTGCTTCGGCATCATGCTCTCCCCGCTCGAGGTCGAAGCCATGCTGGATTCTGTCATGAACATTCTCGAGAAGGACCGCGGCTCCTCCGCCGTCAAAAAGCGCGCCGTCGTTGCCGTCTCCATCCTCGCTCCCCACCTATCCGACAGTCTACTGGCCCAGCTCACGCAGGGCATGGTGAACGGCCTCTCCAGACCAGACATTCGTCCCGTATCCCGCCGCCTCTACATCTCCATCCTGGGGTCCGTCGCCAGGTCCATTCCCCACCGCTTCGGTCCCCACTTGCCCGCCCTGGCGCCTTTCGTCTTCCAGGCATTGGGCGAGGCAGAGCTGGCGAAGCATCTCGAAGAAGTTAGCGGCGGGGAAGATCTGGGCTTCGAGTATAACGACGTGAGGGAAGCGTCCCTCATTGCCCTGGAAGCCTTCCTCTCTTCGTGCCCCACCGAAATGGAACCGTTTACCGATGAGACCATCCAGGCCTGTCTCCGCTTCCTCAAGTACGACCCCAATTTGGCCGTCGACGAGGAGGAGGACGAGGACATGGAAGATGACGAGGAGGATGACGAAGACGAAGACGACGCGGTCGACTTTGGCGGCGATTATGACGACGACGACGACGACGACGACGACTCCAGCTGGAAAGTACGCCGCTGTGCGGCCAAGGCGCTTCGGACCTTGATTTCGACCAGGGCCCACGGCGAACTCCTGTACAGCGGCATTCTCTACTCCCGGGCCGGCCCTGCCCTGGTCAAAAAGTTCGACGAACGGGAAGAGAACGTGCGGCTCGAGGTCATCAGCTGCCTGTCCCTCCTCGTGCGCAAAACGGGCGAAGATCTCTATCCCGGTTCCGTCGATTGGAACCTGGAAGGCCAGGAGGACGACGTGTCCTACAAATTGCCCATCAGCAGAAAGCGCCGACGCCAAAGCAGCGTTGCCGAACCGGGCGCCATTTCCCCCACGCTGGAAAGGGCCCCGGCTACGGGTCCTCGAGCCGACCTGGCCCGCTTGACCCCTGGCGTCATAAAGGCGTCCTTGAAGCACTTGAAGACCAAGGCCATCCCGACCAAACAGGCCATCCTCAATCTCCTCGACGACATTGTCAAAGTGCAACGTGGCGGCTTGAATGATTACCTCAACGATATCGTTGGCCCCGTTATAGAGTCTGTCAAGTCGGTCGACGCGTCCGGGTACGCGTCGTCCGTGACCGCGACCGGAGGCAACGCATCCGCGACACCGAGCACCCTGCGCATGACGGCGCTGCGTCTCGTCAGCAGCATCGCCAAGACGCACCCGTGTAACATCCTGCAGCCTCATCTCCCCCAGATTGTGGCTGCGGTTACGACCGCTGTGAACCACCGCTTCTACAAAATCTCGTGCGAGGCGATACGGACGGTGGAGGAGATCGTGAAGAATATTACCCCGCCGCGGTCACGGCTCAATACGCAAAAGTTTAGGGGCGAACTGCAGAAGCTTTTCGACACGGTGGTCGAGAGGACCACACAAACTCAGGCGGACGCCGAAGTTCGCCAGCGGTCGATCCACGCGCTCGGCGTGCTCGTGGCCCGGACCATCAGTGCCGAGGGCGGCGAGCTGATATCGGCCGAGAAGCGGAAGGTGGCATTGGATCTCTTGCTGGACCGCATCAGAAACGAGACGACCCGGCTTGCCGCCGTACGAGCGGTCGACAACGTGGCCTTGTTCTGCACGAGCGCCGATCAGCTGGAGAGCGAGTGGATCCGGCCCATCGCTTTGGAGCTCGCCACGCAGCTTCGGAAGTTCGACAGGGGCATCCGGACGTCTAGCGTCCAGGCGCTGAAGCATCTGCTGGCTTCTCCTGCGGCCAAGGGCAAGCTTGATCCGGATACGATCCGGGCCGCCGTGTTGGCGATAGATACGCTGATCAGCAACCAAGACACACACTCGCTGGGGTCGGCTCTGCTCATCCTGGCCTATCTGGTGGAAGAGGATGCCGACCTGGTGGTGACGCCCAAGATGGTCAACGCGGTGTGCGAGCTCTTGAAGTCGACGTACGCCGGCATCCTCCTTGACCAGCTGCTCACGCTCGTGGCCAAAGTCGGCGAGAGCGGCGCGGGTCAGCCGTTGATGGCAGGGCTGCTCCAGTCGGTGAGCATCGAAGGAGACCCCTCCGTGGTTGGCAAGGTCATCGGCGCACTCCTCGTGAGCAGCGGCGGCTCGGCCGGCGTCACCATCGACAGCTTCGTTGCGGAGCTGCGGACCAGCGCTCAGAAGAGAGACGATGCCCGGGCCATCTTGTCGCTGGCTGTGTTGGGAGAGGCGGGACTGCGGCTGGGCGAGTCGTCGCCACTGGGGCCCGACCTCTTCCTGAGCCAGTTCCACTCGGAGCCGGACAAGGTGTCGATCGCGGCGGCGGTGGCCCTTGGGCGGGCCGGGTTGGGCAACGTGTCCCGGTACCTGCCGGTCATTCTCGGGACGATGGAGAAAGGGGGCAACACGCAGTACTTGGCCATCCAGTCCATCAAGGAGATCCTGCAGCACATGTCGGGGCATTCGGTCGACATGTCGCAGTTTGCGGGGCCTCTCTGGAGACAACTCCTGACGGCTTCGACCAACCCGGAGAATACGGTAGCGTGCGCCGAGTGCGTGGGGAGGCTTGTGATTGTCGACCCGAAGACGTATATGCCCGAGTTGAAGGTGAGGGTTTTTGTTTTCTTTTCCTTTTTTTTCTCTCTTTCCCTTTACTAACGTCTTTACCTCGCAGTCCCTGCTGAAGCACAGTGACCCTGCCATCCGCGGCATGGCGGTGCAGGCGGTCAGATACACGCTCCCCGATAGCGACGACGGGTTCGATGCGATGCTCAGGGACGCCCTTCTCGAGATGCTGTTGACGATGCTGACGGACTCGGAGATGGACAACCGACGGCTGGCCATGTCTACGCTCAACTCGGCCGCACACAACAAGGCGGATCTGATCCTGCCTCATCTCAACCAACTCATGCCCATCGTCCTGGCCGAGTCTAAGGTTAAGCCAGAGCTGGTCCGGGAGGTGCAGATGGGACCGTTCAAGCACAAGGTGGATGATGGGTTGGAAGTGCGCAAGGTGAGACTTTTTTCTTTCTTTTTTTCTTCTTTTTTCTTTCTTTTTTTCTCTTCCTCTCACTGCTTCTCTCCATCACTTCCTTTAGCTCAAGCTCAAGAATGCTGACTTTACATCCAACACACAGAGCGCCTACGAAATGTTGTACGCTCTTATGGACACGGCATACTCGCGCATCAACAAGATGGAACTGTTCGACCGGGTGATCGCCGGACTTAGGGACGACAACGACATCCGGTCGCTGTGCAACCTGATGCTGTCGAAGCTGGTGAAGATCGACCCAGACGAGACGACTCGGCGGCTCAACGGCATCGCGGAGGCGTTCCGGGGGGTCTTGTCGACCAAACTCAAGGAAGGTTCGGTCAAGCAGGAGGTGGAGAAGCAGGAGGAGGCGAACCGGAGCGTGCTACGGGTGTCGCTGATGCTGGCGGATAGGGTGGCGAACAGCAAGTCGGGCAGCGGGGTCCAGGCGGGACACAGCAACCAGGGGCGGCAGGACTGGGATGCGTACTGGGAGTGGGCGATGAAGGATTACCAACCGATGCTCAAGAGGCTTCGGGAAGAGAACGAGGTGAACCGAAGAGACGGCGCTTAGGGGGTGCTCATGCTCTGAGAGACTGCCTCGGATGTCTTGTCTGTCCCTGCATCGTGGTTGCCTTTAGGGGACGTGAGGTCGACGACTTGGGGGGGTTTTTTTTTCTTCTTTTTTTTTTTTTTTTTTTTTTTGGTTCAAGTCCCCTCAATGATGCTGTCATTCTGGGAGCTCCCATGTCATTCAGTCTCTTGCACGAAACCGCAGAGAAAGAAAAAAAATTAGTCGTTGAAAGCTGACGATACCGGCGGATGAGGATGCAGGATAGAAAAGAAGCCAGCCGGAACGGAAGGGGGTGGCGGGTTCCTTGGGCGAAGAAGGCTGCGCAAGGGGGGTTCATAGGTATGGAAAATGAAGATATGCGTAAGAACGGCAGCAGTAGACGGTGTAGTGTCGGCTGTGGAGATGGGCAGACGCTTTAGCATGGAGCACATATCGCGCTCGCTTCTTCCTATCACCGTACGGGTTTACACGAGGACAATCAAACCTCCGGGTAGTTCATCAGGTCTACTAGTACTGTCCAGAGATATCAAGCTGAAATCCCTTGGGCGGCGGATTAAGAGAAGCTCCGGCCGTAAGAGGTCTTAGCGTTCCCGTAGGACTGGGTGTACTTCGTACACTAGACCCACCCTAAGGTAACTAATGCATTGACGCAACTACAACGTACCTGCTTTGTACTTGGAGCTCGGGATGTTCCAGTCAATGTACCTCACAGCCACCATTTGCGTTATGTATACGACTCTGCTAACAGTCATTGACAGGGAGCTAACGGATTCCTAGTGAGGTAACCACCCCGCAGCTATTGGACAGGGCTCGGACTTCTATTTCCAGATGCTGACACCGAGAGAAAAGCTACCTAGAATCTAAGTACTCCGTACGTCTCGTCTACCTTTGGTCTGAGGGAGCCCATTAAATTCTCCAGTCCTCATTCTTTCACCTCTTTTTCCTTTTGCCACGTTTATTGTCTTTGTGAAGGAGACTCTTGTTCATTCTTTCATTTATTCTTTATTTCTCCTCGGTTTCCATTCTTGTTTTCTTAGAAACGGAAAAACCAAACGGAAAAGACAGGATCCCGTTACCGACATCGACATGTCAGACGCCTTCAATCCCAAGGGTTCATCCCCGACCGTCAAACCGAAGAAGGGCGACGACGATCAATATGACACCTCGGCGTCCGGCTCCACCCCGGTCCCGGGTCTCCGCCTGGGCGAGACATCCGACGCCCTGTCCCTCCACACCACCGGCCTCCCGCCGCACCGTCCAGGCGGGTTATACGACGAGTTCCCCGCCGAACTCGAAGCAGACGACCTACCCCCTCTGTACACCGACGACCCAGACGCCGCGGCGCCCGCCCCCCTCCTCCCACCAGGCGGCGGGGGCGGCTCCTCCTCCCTCCTAGGCCGGCACGCCGGCTACCTCCTGAGCCCGTCCCACCGCGACAAGTCCACAGGCCACGAATGCTACATGGACCGACGGCTCGACACGGACCCGGCCTTCCTGCAGAAACACATCGAGATGTGCGCGCTGACGCCGCCGCGGCCCTTCGTGCAGGTGCGGGGCACGCACACCGAGACGGTGCGCAAGGGCGACAAGACGGAGAAGCGCGAGCACGTCGACTTTGACGTGCGCGTCGAGCTGACGCCGTTCCTCTACTCGGACATCAACACGCGGGCGTCGTGGCGGGAGCTGCGCACGGCGGATAATTTCGAGAAGGTGCGGCGCGGCACCGTTTTCGCCGTGCGGGCGCCCGGGTTCGGCGGGCGGAGTAGTAGTAGTAGTAGTAGTAGTACCACCCGCCCAGGGGTGGACCCCGCGACAACAACAACAACTCCCGCTTCCGAAGAAGCGGGCCCCCCGGGACTGGCGGAGTGGTGCCACCGCTACTGCGCGAGCCACGCGGGGCTGAAGACGTTCCTGCTGCGGCGCACGGTGGCGGGGTTCGACGAGGAGGCGGTGGCGGCGAAGCTGGAGGCGCTGGTGCGCAACACGGGGTACCGGGGCCGCACGACGGTGCGGTTCCCCGTCGAGGACGCCGCCGTCGAGGTGTTCAACCAGTGCCGCACGAACCGCTGGCGCCTCCTGGCGTGGCTGCGGTGGCTGACCTACCTCACCCTGCTCTTCGTCTTCACCTGGCCCTGGCTGTTTTTCCGCACCAAGCGCTTCGAGGTCGCCGTCGCCGAGTGGCACTTCTCCCGCTTCGTCTTCGTCCCCGCCGGGAACGGGAGCGGGCGAAGGGAGTTTGTCAGCGTGAGCGAGGAGCAGTGGTATAACATGTGGGCCAGGGCCATCTGGAAGGCCGTGCTGGGGAGGAGGCAGGGCACGCTGGACCAGCAGGACCTGATTGCCGCCCAGGCTGCGCAGGGCTTGAGTTTCGACGAGGCGGCTGCCGGCGGGGGCATGGCGGGGACCGTGGGCGGCTTTGTAATGGCGGGAGTGAATGCTATGAATACTGTCAACCAGCATTTCGGATGGGGAGGCGATAACTGAGACGGAGTCGAGTGTCTGCCGTATAATGTATTTACTCTCAATTTTGGGTACAGGGTCAGGTTTACTTTCTTGCAACTTGATGTTATTCTTTTCGAATTTATGGCTCCATTCCTATTTACCCGATTTAAATAACTAGGATATTTATTTCGACTTCCTGTCAAAAATATGAGATTTCCGTACGGATACTACAGAGTATAAAAAACACGATGCACTTTGTATATTCCAGGTCACTCACCTCGGTGAGATAGACCTCAGCCCTTAACACACGACCCACAATACCCCACAGCGCCCCCACCTTACCCCCCATGTTACCCCCAATAAGTGTACCTCGATACATCGTAGTATTACCCCGCCACACCGACGTCTTGAGCTTCTCGTTGCTTTTGCATCTCACAACTTCAACCTCACTCACTTTCACTCACTATCACTATCATCGCAACACCACAAAGTACGAAATTCCACAGCAATGGAGATATCTAATCCCAGGAGAATTCTGGCTGTATCCGCAGAAAACCAAGTCGACCATCTAAGTCGAGTGCTCAAAGGTCAGTCATGGAAATAGTCGGCTTTCTTCTTCTTTTTTTTCTTTCTTTTTTCCTTTTTCTTGTTTCCTTTTTCTTTTTTATAAACCCCGCCATCTCACCGTCGTCCTCTCATCGCCTGCCTACCTTCAAGTGAACTTCCCTCCATCACCGTCCCACCCCAAGCTAATGCACCCCCACCATCGCCACACCACAGACCTCACAGGCTCACACCCCGAGCCCACATCCTCCACCTCCGCCGGCCCCTCCCTAGCCGGAACCACCCATCCCCTGCACCTCAAGACGGCGTATTACACCGCCACCGTCCCCGTCTGGCTCGACCTCATTCCCGACGAAGACCCCGCAGACTGGGCCTCCGCCTTCCTTGCCCCGGAAGCCAAGGAGGTTCTCGACGTGCTAGGCGGCATAGCCGTCGTCTTTCCCATCTCTCCTCCCGCTCTGCCCGCAACCGATTCCACAACAGCGAGCCGCACAGAGCAGAACGACGAGCAGGAGGACAGAAGTAGTAGCACCCATCGTCTCCTCCGCCAAGTGGGTCGCGTCGTCCGCGAAGGTCTGGGCGGCTGGCAATGGGACGGCGTAGGGCTGGCCATCGGTGTTGCCGGCGGGGGCACTGGCACCGACCTGGACCACGAGAAGATCGCCGCGACGTGGGAGGAGGTATGTGCCGAGGCCGGCTTGGAGCTCGTCCTTATACGAGGCCACGAAAGCGATCAAGGGCGGAATGAGTTCGGAGGTATGTTTCTAGACCCGTCCGTCCCCGTTGACCTTTTCGCCCAGACTGAACCCCTTTCCAACAGAAAAGATGGGCATCCCCCGCGTCCTGGAGGCACTAGAGTCGAACGACTGGGCCCAAGGCCCATCAGCGGAAGACATGGAAGACATGGAAGACGAACCAGGCGAGACCTCCGCGAGGGCGACAAAAACAAAACCAGGCCACGGAGGAGGCGACAACGACGACGACGACGAATTCGACCCGGAAAGCCTCGATTTCGGCTTCGACAAGGCCGACTTCCAAGGCCTGAAAAAGGCCATCTGGGGTCTCGAATCCGAAGACGACCACGAAAATCACCCCCCCGGCGGCAGTCATCGTGATATCGCCTCTCCTCTCGTCAGGGAACCACCCGCCGCAGCAGCTGCCACAAGCTCGACAAAGGACGAGGAAACAGTAGGCGCAAAGACCGGCGACGCGACCAAGGCAAACAAAGAGGACGAAAGACCGGAAGAGACCGTCGTCGACGAAGCGCGCGAGGTCGAAAACATCGAGGCCATGATGCGCAAGTTGCAGGCCGTCAGGGACATGAGCGCCGGTTTGCCCGAGGACCAGAAGAGACGGATGGCCGCCAAGGCCGTGGCCGAGGTGATGAAGGAGTTGTGATGTGGCTTCCTCTGATGCATCAGCCATGCTGGCGAGAGACCCGTCTCTTACACAACTCGACCGATATCTCACCATGCTGACGAGAGGAATCGCCGTGCATCCCCGTCTCCAAACCGAGATCAAGTGAGGCACCATAAGTCTGATCAACAAGGTGTAAAAGGTGTAATTGTAAATCAGGTACTATTCTCAGTCAAATGGAACTTATATGCATCAATGTGGTATCTAAGCAAGACATGTAACACCAAACACCAGACATACGCTTCTCAAATCGCCTGTCCTACCCGGCTATCGCCCGTCGGCGTATTCAACTCGATAGGGCTTTCCTCCATAACATCCCTGCCAGACGAAACCCATCGCGTCGTGACATGCGGAGGTTTCTGGTGCATCTTCGTCTTATGCGCCTTGCCGAACCCCTTCTCAAACGGATCGCTCCCGTCCTCCGGTACGGCCGCCGGGAAATCGGACGACCGCCGCAGGCGCTGCAGCGACGTCCGCGCCGACGCCACGTCGTTATTCGTATTCGCCATCGCGCGCCCCGCCGTCGTCGGCACCGTCCCGCCGTGGGGCTTCATTCCATAAACCACCGTGTCTGCCTGCATGCCGTCGTGGCCATCGCGGTCCTCCCCGTGAGGATCACCGGATCCGGCCATCTTCTCCTTCGCCTTTCGCTTGGCCGCTTTCCGCTCCTCCCTCTCTATGCGCTGCATCAGGTCCACGTCGTTCGCCCAATAGACGCGGCGGACTGCGTCGACAAAGAGCTCCAGCACCAAGACGGCGCCGAGGGCCACAAGACAGACGGTCCAGAAGTTGAGAGTAGCACCAAAGTTGTCCAGGAACGCGCGACGGATCTGGTAAATGCGCAACTCGTTCTGGAAGAGCCCAGAGAGGGCGAGGTTCCACAGAAACCATCCTGTGATCGACAGAAACACGCCGAGGAAGGCAATGATGGTCTTGTCGTGCATTTCGAGCACCCTGCAATATGGAGGTCAGTACTGGGCGGCAAAACACGAGTCACGGGGGCGGAGATGGCCACAAGAATAATAAAGAGACATACAAGAGCTTGACGTTGATGAAAATCACACAGACATTGAACGGCACGGTCCCCATGGCGTAGAGTGACGTGTCCTCGTCAAAAGGCAGCTTGTTGTAAACACCCCAGGTGAGGTAGTAGATGATGAACGATTCCGCCACGCCGAGCAGTGTCCAGCCAACGTACAGCCGCACGTTGATGGCCCCCCGATCATGGCCGTACCTGTACAGCTCCGGATGTTCGAGCAGCGTCTTGGCGCTGAGATCCTTTTCGAACCCACCGAGAAAGATGACGGGCAGCGAGGTGAAGAACGTGTTGAAAACGGTCAAGCTCCAGTTCTCGTACAGCGACGTGCCCGAGTAAGCGTTGAACCGCTGGAAGTGCGCCTGCGGCAGGAAGAACACAATCTCCTTCCAAAATGTCGCCAGGATATACTTGCCCGTGCGGAGGTAGTTGTAGCGACCGTGGACAAAGAGCAGCCGCTGCAGGAAGCGGAACTGCGCGATCGAGTAGTCCGAGATACGCGCGGCCTGAAGACCCTCGCGACCCGAGATGCCGACGCCGACATGCGACGCTTGGATCATGCCAATGTCGTTGGCGCCGTCGCCGATAGCGAGGGTCAGGGAGTCGCGCACCTGGCGGCGGATGCGTTTCACCAGGTTGGCCTTCTGCGCGGGAGACGCCCGGCAGCAGATGACCGAGTCGACACGGCTGGCCAGGTCGTAGAACGGACAGCTCAGCGTCTCGTCGTCGTCGATGAGGCCAAGCGTGTGGCCGTCGACAACCACAACTGTGTGAGGAAGGATTCCGCGGCTGACGTCGGAGAGGGTCGAGTGGATGCTTTCCTCCAGCCGACCCGTGGTGGAATCTAGAATGATGACTTCCGAAAAAGGCTGGCACAACCGTGCCGAGTGAGCAATGTTGATGGCCGTCTCGCGCTTGTCGCCGGTGAGCATCCAGACCTTGATCCCAGCGCGGCGGAGCTTGTCGATGGTGTCCGGCACGCCCTCTTGGAGCTTATCCTCGATGGCCGTGGCTCCCGCCAGGTCAAACTTCTCCTCGATGAGCTCGCCAGCCGCCTCCATCTTCGCTTGACGGTTCTCGAGGCTCGTCGACGCGTCCGAGTAAATCTTCCTCCACCTGGCGTACTCGTCCTCCTCCAGATACCGGTAACCGTACAAGAGCGTGCGCAACCCGTCCCTGGCAAACTCGTCGATGTGCTGGAAACAGCGCTCGAACATGGCCCCGTCGTTCATCGCGGCCGATTCGTCGACTAGACCGTCCAGCACGTCTTCGTGCACTGACAGGGCCATGCTGGGACGCGGCGACGCCGCGTACGAGGTGCGCGGGCTCTGTAAGGGTGACGGAGCCGCCAGATGCCTTTCCGACTCCTTTCGCACTTCGACCTCTTCCAGCCTGCCCTGGGCATCGTCCGCTGCCGCCCAGGCTTTCCATGTTTCCGCCCCGGCGCCGGCGATGGTGGAGATTCGTTTCTGGCCGTCCACCGACAAGCGGAATCCACCATCCTTCATGCCAAACTGGCTATGTCTCTTGGAAATGGACGGACGACCCATTGCCATGCTGTTCCGGGGGCTGCTCATACTTATGCGCTGCTTCTCCTGTTCGATGCTCCTGCGCTTGTGGGCCATGGCCTCGACGCCGGAGGCCTTCTGCATGGCGATATGAGAGAGCTTGAGACGAGGCAGGATGATGCTGTCGGCACCCTTGCAAAAGACGCAGATACGGCCGTCGGGCATGCGTATGATGATGGACATGCGCTTCCTCTTGCTCGTAAAGTCAATGACGTCCAGGACCTCATACGTCTCGCGCGTGGTCGAGCCGTCCGAGTTGGGAAGCTGGAGAATGATCTGTTGATTGGGCCGGTCCACGAGAACATAGCCGAGGTCCCTGGCTGCTTCAACCAGGGCATGCTCATCGGGGGAAGCGGCCTGGTATTCAATCTCACCTTTGTCCCCTTCTTCGGGCAAACAAGTGTGGCACAGAGCGATGGACAGGAGGAAGAACTTGGCCTTGCGCGCAAAGGCGGTGTTGGGCCGGCGGCGCAGGTAGTCGAGGAGATCCTCCGTCTTGAGCTCGGGGTCTCGTTCGGCTGTGCCGTTCTGGTTGCCGCCGGCGTTCCATCGGGCAGGAGACGACACATGAGGAGGGTCGTCAAGCTCAGGCTTCGCGACCCTGTTCTTGTCCTTGTCCTTGTCCTTGCCCTTGCCCTTGCGCTTCTTCCGCGCCATGGCGATGAGCTTCTGCTTGGCTTCTTCGTCCCGCTCGACGTCCATATCGTGCAGCCAGGCTGTGCCAGCGACGCTCATCTTGCGGAAGCGCATCACGTTCTCGGTCAGGGTGCCGGTCTTGTCGGAGAAGACGTAGTTGACCTGGCCGAGGTCCTCGAGAATGGTGGTGGTGTTGGCTACCATGGGGGTGTTGGTGACGGGGTCGTACATCTCGACGTCGCCCATGAGGTAGAACTGGATGACTTTGATGATCTCCAAGCTGATGTAGAGGGAGAGCGGGATGAGCGTGTTGAACATGATGATGTAGGCGATGAAGACCTCGCGGAAACTGAGGGACGTGCCACCGAGGAACCACGAGTGGCGCTCGACCGTGTTGCGGAGTAGAAAGTAGCCGCCGGTTAAGCCGCCGCTGATGCCGAGGAGGACGAAGACGAGCCAGACGATGCAGCCGTTGACGACGTACTGCATGGCGGGAGCCTTGGTAGTGACGTGCTTGTGGGCGTTCATGCGGATCTTGCACTCCTCCCCGGTGTTGACGACCAGGCCAATGGTCTCGGCCGTGTTACGGACAGTGGAGCCGCGATAGACGACATTGGCGAGGGACAGCGGAAGGGTCTCTTCCCCGACGGTGACGCGACCGTCGTAGCGGTACAGGTCGACGTTGGGATCCTCCGACACGACGACGGCCTCGCAGGCCTTGAGTCCGGCCAAGGTGCTGCACTGGGCGGCCAGGGCCGGGGAGGCGCGCTTGGCTTTGAGGTTTGTCTCACCGTCGAGAGCCATGGTTTCGATGTAGGTGACACTGTTCGGGTTGGAGGCGTGCAAAACGACAATGTCGGCGGGAACGTTCTCATCCCGTCGCAGGCGGACAATGTCGCCGACCTTGACGTCCTGCCAGAGGATGGTGGACCACTCGCCTTCATGTCCTCCGTCGCCGAGGTCGTCCATGGCCATTTCGGAACCCTCCTTGGTCGCTTTGGCAACCTTCTTCTTGGCACGGCGGAGAGCGTTAAGGTCCTCACCCAGAACCTGCACCTCGCTACGGTTATCCGCCTTGTCGAGACGGTATCGGCGGTAATCATCGTAGCCCTCCTTGGCCATTGACAGAGCGACGAAGGCCATGAGCGGGGCAAAGGTGGTCCATTCGCCGGTGGTGCTAAGCCCAGGGGTGAGCTGCATAATAGAGATGGCCAGGAAATAGGCATTGCCGAGCTTGCTAAACTGGAAGATGAGCTGCTTGGGTAAGAAGTCCCAGACGGTGTAGCGACTGGAACGGATGAAGTTATCGGTGTAGGGCTTGCGGGTGCGTTCATCGGTAAGCAACTCGGAGCGCTTTCGGTTGGCGGACAGCGGTATGTGCCTGCCATCGGGGGACGGCGGTAACGGTTTCTGGCGCAAGATACCTTGGATGACGACTTTGCGGTATAACGTGGCGACGCGGCCGAAGGCTTCGTCCCTGGCATCGAGCCATCGTATGCGCTTGCTCTTCTTCGGAGCTTTATACTGTGTAGAAGACTCCGCTTTAAGGTCATCGAAATCGACGGTGGTGGCGTAGGATATAGGATCGGGGACAGTGTTTTGGCTCTCGCGGTGGGCTTTCGAAGACGAGCCGATGTGATGGAAAGGATAGGCTGGACGCGCCCCGGAATGGGCTACCGGGACGGGCGAATGTTCATCATCGGTCGGAGCCGTGGTCGGGTTCCTGGGTGGCGGGCGAGTCATGGTACATCCGGCCAAAGGAAGGGCAGAATGGCCGGGCCAGCAGGTACGTGTGTTTAGGGTTGGGACGGGCACTTAGGCCCCTGGGGCCGGCGAGCTGGTCGACGGCGCGTCAGTCAAGGGCGGCGTCGAAGTTTAAAAGAATGGGCCAGTTCTTCCCCCCGCAATGAAGACGGGATGGCCCGGAGAGGAGAGGTTGAGGACGGGAAATGAACGATGCTAATTGAGGAATGTGAAGGGAATGCGAAGGGAATGCAAAATATGATCCTTGTCCATAGCCTGCTTCTCTTGTCTGTACCTTATTTCTCTCTCCCTTGTTTCTCGGTCCTTTCGTACAGCGTCAGGCTTCTTCACTCAATGTATGGCGTTGGACTTTCGTGTTCGATGATATGTGATGAAACTGTCGAAAAAGACGGGTAGTAGACGGGGCTGTTCGTCTCCTTTTCTTCTTTTTTCTTCTTTTGGTATCAGCAAGTCGCAGCAGCCATTCTTTTGAGATCCCAGGCGCCTTTCGAACCGTCGGTTGTCAAAGGGCTTTGCGAACGTGTCTCTTTTCGAGCGTGTCCCACTTCGCCGAGACTGGAAATTCGAGCGCTTCGAGGACGTGTCGTCGTAGACCTCACAGAGGGTAGATGATGAATTGGAATTTGCTGATGACGATGGCTGTAGACAACGAATACCACAACGATCGTGTTATGGCTGCCAGGTTGTGCTCCGTAATTGAGATACTCGGGTCCGTTTTGTCGAGTTGGCAGAGATGATAAGAGGAGAGGCCAGGGAGCAAGGAGGCCAACGGAGAGAAGAATGCCAAGGTTGACGGATTCACTGCAGGCTGTCGTAAGCGAAAAGGACAACTTCCGTTCGATGAGCACGTAACAATCAAGCGAAAGAAATATAAACCCCAAAAAGGGAAAAAAAAACCCAAGAAGAATGAGCGCTTGTGATATGGTATTTCAAAGAAAGACGAAAGCGAAGTGAGGAGAGGAGAAAGAGGACGAAGACGAGGAGTAAGACGAAGAAGAAGCGGGTTACGTGTATCCCAACACGAAAGACTAAGGTAAGGAACGGGGCGTGAAAGTGTGACCAGTCAGGCGCGACCCTCGAAACTCGAAATAGCGGAAGTGACAATGACCGCCGGTTGGTCCTGCCTTGTCATTCTTCAGGTCCTTCTATGGAGTTAGTTATGCGGAGCACCGGCTGCACGGTAGTAGGTTCGAAAGTGAGACTCGAAGGTGGCAGATACAAGCGTGACGCGGTAGATGTACCGCTGGATTTATGTACCGAGTACTTTGCTAAACCAGTTTCTGCCCCGCCGTTTTTCCGTGTTCGAGCCGGCTCCAATTCACCAAGGCGCAGTGACTCGTCGTCGACAGTCTGTGAACACCTACTGAACATTGAATCCGCGATTCAATTTCTCCGTTATCAATTTTCATTCTTTTGGCTTGGGCCTTTCTCTTACATACATGCCTAGAGACCAGCACTCTCAACCACCTAACATACCTTAATGAGAGGAAAAAAGTACAAGGTAGAGAATACAGAAAAGGTAGTAACAAGTCACCCAGCACCAGCCTTATCCATGACGACGCCTGCCCCTCCGTCCCCTAAAAGAGGACGTAATTAGAACACGCACCCTTCGGCACCCCCTTCGGTCTCCTCCCCCAACCCCCCCCCCCCCAGAGCAGCACAGCCACGCACTTCACTTTCTGCCACTAACACACTCCTGCCCACCCACCATCCTTCCACTCTTCCCCAGGAACCAACCTCTCCTAGCCTAGCATCGAAGCACGCCGTCATCGCCCACCAATATAAAGTGGCTTAGCCCGTGTACCCTCCCGGTGCTGAGCCCACAACCCCCTGATCCTTTTATGTACGGACACTCATCATGGACCCTGTACTCAATAATTATTCCTTACTAATAAAACCACAATGAGCATTCGTGCCCACCCATGACACCGGTCGGTTCCCATCAAGTTCCCCCAACGAACCAACCCCATCATGACAGCAATTCGGCAACTTCATTCACTCTTCACTGTAGGCTCAATAGAGATATGCGGACAACGGTAATATATGCAAATGGGAATATAATAACTTTGAGTGATACCCATGTCCCCTCCCCACGCCCATCCCTCCGGATTGTGCACCCAGCGCCACTATAGAACACGAGGTTGAAGCCGGGATCCAATAGTCTCTTCTCTCGCATGACTGCCCGACTCCTCCGTCCGCCCGCGCCTCTTCCTTCCAAGGCCTCGGAGTTCCACCGCTCTGCGCTCGGGACTGCTCTTCCTGCTCCTCTGTATATCCAATAAAGGAACCACCGCAAAACGAAAACGCCAACGAAGATATCCATATGGTACCATGAAAAATCTCCAACTTCACAACTGGGAATCCAGAAAGCCCAAGCCACCCGGGCGAGGACTTTCCCTTCTTCGCATCTAACCCTCCACATGCTCCACTCTTGCTTTCCTATCGCCTCCCAAAGCTATCTCAAGAACGCTGCCAGGATGGAAAAAAAAGAGAGAAAAAAGGTCATCTATGGCTCATCAACGGCGCAGCCAAGAACAAAAGTATCAAGAATGAAAGCAAGAAAAAAAAAAGAACAGAACAGAAGCAAACCACACTCGGGGCCGCCACGCCAAGCCACGAACCCCCGAGTGGAAACGAGGAAAAACAAACCAAACCCTATGCTGAGATGAGTTGGGTCCAAATATATTAGGCGCGGCGTAGATCCGACGTAGAGAATAACCCATGTTCGTGCTGGAAAGAAAGCAACAAGATGTAATGCGCTTCGAACGATCACGCTCTTGCCAGCCGGAGGTCGCGGGATGCATATAACGGTAGTTAAAAGAGATAATTCGAAACAGCAGATGACGAGCAAAATGGATAGCCGGTATGCAAAAAAAAGGGAATCGTGTGAAAAACATATACGATCGCTTGTGCCAGACACGCATGATCGAAATCCGAAAAAGAGGGCATCGTCATGCAGATTTCGTCGTGGCCACGGCAAAACAAAAATAAAGAGGGGGGAAAAAAAGGAAGAAGACCGGAAGTAGAGGGGGGAAAAGATACCCGCCCACTCTTCCAACTGTAGCCAATGCCCAATTCTATAAACTGGTATATCAGAGCTTGGAAACACAATACACGCTGTCTGCACAGCGCAGACCGGGCCTTCGATAGCTGTGCTCAAGTATCCTTCGGTCTCCTTGGAACGCCATTTCCATGTCCGTTTGGAAAACACGGCCTCTCGTCGCCACAGCATGCAGCACTTCACTGTGTGGGCTGCTGCGCCATCTGGCTCATCGGCTCGGGGGACAGCGAAGCGGCCTCGGCCTGATCGAATTGAACGAGTTGATTCATGTCCAATTCGGCCTGTGAGGTCTCGTGGTTTGAAGGAGAGCCTGCGTGCATGGGGAGGTTGATGCTATGTTTCGAGTACATCTCGTTCAGGCTACCGCCGTCATCCGACACGGCGCAGGAGTTATCACCGTGATGACGGTACATGTCGGCCGAGGCCGGGCGGCCCATCATGGCCAGTGGCGGCGACTGTTCAACAATCGAAGGTTCGCCGTGGTTCGCAAAGGGGGAGACCGATGGCGCAACCAGGTTGGCCGTATGGGGCATGGGCGAAAGGAAGGTGCCGCCATATGGCGTGTTGTAGTTGGACGTCACTGGCAATGGGCTCTGTTCGGCGCCCTGGGAGTAGTAGCCGGGGCTCGCCGGAAACTCGGATGGAGACGCGGTCGTAGCCGACATGGGATACTGCCGCATGTCCAATCCAAACCCAGCTTGCGTGTCTATCCTCAGGTTGGGGCCTAGGCCGCTGTTGGGCTGCTGCGGGATGGGCGCGTGGATGTTGGGGTAAATGTCCGGGTGGTGGGGTTGCGGTGCCACGTCGCCCGGTTGTTGGATGTAGAAGGACGGCATTGGGGTCTGCAACATGGAGAAATCGACAGCCATGGGCACGGATCGGCTGCGCTGCCTCTTATGGCCAGGGCCACGCATTCCAGGCTGCACGTTCCCAATGCCCCAAGACTCCTGGAACATGCCTACGTGCGGCTGCACGAAGTTGGGTTGCGACGACGGCCGGGCCGTGGGAGACACGGGAGCGGACACCGATAGCGTGGCGGGATGCTCGAAATACGGAGTCGGGTTATTGCGATTCATGAACGACTCAAGCGACACGAGCTTGGCTAGCTGGCCGCTCAGAACCTTGGGGTTGCCGCCGAGGTGGTGAACCAAGCATCGACTCGCTTGCTTGTCCTCGGTGAAATCCTCAACCTCAAAGAAGCCGCTGGCGGTCGGGGTCGAGTCCATGAAGAAATGGGGCGGCCGGTTCAGCTCAATGACGATGCCGCTCGGCTTGTTCGGGTCGCCTTCTTGGTTCTCGAGGTAAATGTTCCTGATGTAGGCGAACGGATACTCAATTTTGTAGCCAGCCTGTTCATTGTGGATGTAGTAGGTCATGGTGCACTTGTCGGGAGAGTAGAAGATGATCAGATCCATGGTGCTCTGTGCCACACGCGCCCACTTGCCGATGTTCAGGGACCTGCTGCTCAGGTGATGAATCACTGCGGTGCGTTAGCAACTCCGCGGTCTGCACGGTTCAGACAACAAGAGGCTGTTTTGAAGTGTCAACTCACAAACTTTGCCACTATTTTGCTCAACGCCAAGAAGCATGTTGCCGGAGCCATAGGGGTGAAGTCCGTTGCGGCCGAGAAAATGCCCGCCGAGCCCCTTGCCGGACTCCATGGCTTGCATAGCGAGGTAATGCCGCATGGATTCGGGAATGCAGTCAAAGTCCTCGCCTGTTTCGAGACTCTTCTTAGCCATGAGCTTGATCTTGGCGCGCCTGGTGGGTTGTCAGCAAGATAAGCTTCTAGCCAAGGCGCAGCGGCATGAGCCACCGGGTCATCAAGCACACAATAATCAGAAGGAACAAGGCGCACCTATTCTGGAACCAAATCTGGACAGACCTTTCGGTCATGTCGATCTCCTCGGCGATTCGTTCTCGGACCTGTGCAGTGGGCGTAGGATTTTTGTTGAACTCCATCTCCAAGATGGTGAGCTGCTCCTGGGTCGCACGTTGCCTCTTCTGGTTTTTCTGCTGTTGCGTGAGGGTGCTCTTTCGGGGCAGCCGCTTCGATTGCACGGCGGGATTGTTGAAGCTCATGCTGCTGGTCGAAGAAGGGGAAGGCGTTTGGCTCATTTTGTGTGCCGATGATATCGGAGTCGGAATAGTGTCAACGGGTTTCGAATTGGGGGTGAGAGCACCGGCGGGTACTGGCGACTCGGCCGTAGTCGACTCCATCTTAACCCTGATATCGATTTCGGTGGCCGCCATGGCAGTGGTGTGGCACTGTAGAAATAAGAATATGTTGATAGGGAGATGGCGCGCTATGTGGCGTTGAGGAGTGCCTGCTCGAGCGTTCGACTCAAATCGAAATAGAGTTCCCAAATATGCCTACGATGGCAAGTTGCCGTATTGGAAAGCGAGTAACAAACGACCCGGGGGCCAACACGGGCTGTTCAGTTCCGTCCTCGTTGTCCTTTGTCGTCCTGGTGAACCTCTTGCGTGCCTGCAATTCGGACCTTTGTTTTTCTCGGTTCGGAAGAGGCCGGTGGCGAAGAATTAGTCGGTTTTGATGTGGACGATGTTGATATATCGTCGGAAGAAAATAATACTAGATGCTATACGCTAGGGAATGTCAAGAAAAAGAGGTGTATTGGGTAAGGAGCGTCGTCCTGAATCCGGGTGGGATTAGCAGGTTGTTGATTCCAGGATTTGGACGAGATCGATGCAGTCGTGATTGTCAATGCGAACAAGTCGTGGTCCCTAGTAAAAGGAATGGAATGGAAACCCGGAAAGGAGTGACGGGTCCCGAAGAGGTAGAAAATCAAGAAAACGACTAGGAATAAAATAAAACACAAAGGCGAAAGAAAGGAGTGACTGGGAGAGAAAAGAGGGAGAGACGGGAAATTGTCAAGAACGACCCAAAGAGGGAAATGGGAACGGGGGGACTCAAAAATCAAGAGGAAGGGAAACGGAAGAGAATAAGAGGGGGAAGCGAGGGAGGGAAAAAGGGAAAGGGACGGACTGGACGACGCCTTCCAGCTGGGACTGCCTGCGGTCCCGTCTGACGGGGGAAGAGCCCTGAACAAACCTGGAAGGCAGGAATTAGCGGGAACCGATTGTGGTAGTAGCCAAGGTACTCCATGCCGCTCTAAGACCGCTGGAAGGTACTTTCACGCGGCTTAGCAAGGTACCTCATCAGGACTAGGAGGGTGGTCGAACCGGGACGTTCTTTGGCTTGGGGGCCCGATGACCACAGACCCATCAAGTGGTCGGTCAGACAGGTCACACCCGCCCTTTCCACCAGTCCGACGACTGCTACCCACGCATCCACACCCACTCTCACGCACACTTGCACAATAAGGTACAGAAACGAAGTACGGATACAGCGCTGTGCATGGTACAGTGTTCACGTATGTAGATACTGTACCTGACTGTGTACCTTATACAAACTCCCACCTTTTGCAGCTGGAGAAGCCAATAAGGAATGCATCTGATAGAACAATACCCCACATCTTTTCGCTGCGTACCTTATTGGACAGATATCGCGGGTACCTTACAGCGGGCTCACTCTCGTCCCACGCCGTCCTGAACCAGTTCCAGGGGAAAGAGAACTCGGCGAAAGAACAGAGAAGAGATTCCTGCATGCCCACAGTCGAGGAACGCGCATGTTAGTTTGTATGTTCCAACTTTTTATTGTCTGCCTGACATCGCCTGTGAGTCGTGCCACTGCATTAATGCTGCGTGGCTTGCCATTCCCGAATCGGTCTCAGAGAAACAGGGTGGGGACAGAAACGGGAGGAGTCACTCACTGAGACCAAAGAATCCTCGACCCATTTTAAAGCGTTCGAATTAAGAAGTAACTCTTATCCTATATATGTATGCCAGGCGAGGGGAGGCAACATACCAACAGGGCAAATAGGTAAAAATATTGACACTTTGGTGCCGCTGAGTTTGGGCTGCAGGAACAATGGAGACGAAGTGCATGGTAAGGTACACGTAGAGAGAGGGAGTACCTTATGGAGTCCCTCTTGTACGACGGTATTCGTACTTGTATGTACCTTAGTGTACATGAGGTGATCCCCTTTTAGGACTCCGCGTCCCGTCTTGGTTCTCTTGGTGCTCTTCCCTCCAACGTCCATCGCCCGATGATGGGATCGGCTTGGATTTTCCCTAATAAGGCCACGACATCTGCACCCCTCGACGACTCAATTCACTATCAAGTCCGTCGCTCTGCCCACGCATCAACTTTTTCTCCCCTTTTCGTTCGGACCAATGCTCCAGCATGGAAACAAAAAAGGGGGTGAGGGCTCGGGTTGTATGGGGGGAATAGTTTCTTTTTCCTCTCTCTCTCTCTCTCTTTTTTTTTCGCCCGTTCCCACAAGGCCTGTCCCGTCCCATCAAAATTTTCTGGGACAGGACAAGGATGTTCGTTCTTCTTCCACAGAATGCAGAATGGAGCGTCGAACTGCCGACGATAACGAGGAACCGTAGCGGCAACGGCAACGGCAACGGTAGCAGTGGGTGTTCAGCCGTAACGTATTCTCCGCCAAGACCCGTTTTATCGCACCCCTGATGCGTGAATGGCAGTACCCGTATTCGTATGTACCTCCTTCGTACAGTCCCGCGTACGAGGATGGGTGGAGTGTAGCACAATTCTCAACTCGAGAACTTTGGTGCGACATCGGGACAGGGGCTGTCACATTTTACGGTCAGCCCCCAGACCGCGACGGCGACAGGATAAGATTGTACCGTCCTCCGTATCTTTATCCGTACAACTAACGGGCTCATAACCCCTACATAAAGGTACTTCGTACTTCCGGATGACGCTATTCACACTACGGAGTAACATAATACCCGTACGCATCAGGAATTCGTTGGTGTCAAGAGGCGTCACATATTCCTGAGTTCAGCACCCGTCCGCAATATTATGTATGTATCGGGGGGATATACATTAGTCGAGCCAAGATGCCATCCCAGCCCCTGTTCAGAATCCTTTTTTTTTCCCCTCGAGTCCGCTTTTCCCCTTTTCTTCGACGTTTTCCACTGCCCTTTGATCATTGCGTCCCTCCTTGTTGCCCGTTTGTGGGATGGGTCTGCCCAGGGCCTGTCCCCAGGGCAGGGGGCCCCTGGACCAATGGCGATCCCATGGACTAACTCCCTTGCCTCCGTCGATTTGTCTTTTTTTGGACATGCCACGAGGACGACGCGTCTAAGGAAGGCACGGAGCACTTTGTACCTTAACCCCTCTTCTTGACCGGCGCACCGAACCGATCCGGCCGCCGACTTATTAAGCACACATCTACGTTGTATGCATCTCCTCTTGGAAGTACGATGCCTGTTTTTTACTCTCAATTCCCCTTCACTGACATATGTATTCTGAAGAAAAGGAGAAGAGTGAGGGGTAATGGCTTTAGAAGTCTTCCTCGGCGAGTGGGTGTCTAAAAACGGATCACGTCGGACACATCCGCTGGTCTGGCGGTGACACTGCGCATTCGACCATGCAGTTGCAGGGGGGGCATTATCATGCGCCCGCTTCTGCCCACCTTCATCCGACAGGGCCTTTTGCTTACCAGTCTTCCCAATTGGCCAACAGGCTGCCCATACGTCCTCGTAGGGCGTTTCAGCCCTCCCTGGCCTGCCTTAGTCCCATGGGTCAGGATGATCATGAGCCAAGCAAGCACCATGCTCTCCCTCAGATCAATCCGTGAGTCGAAATCATGGATGGATATGGTGCTGTGTGTCGCATCACTCTTACACGGGTTCAGTGTTCGACGACGCTTCACGGCCCGATGGACGAAAACCACCTAACCACTAGGTATTCGTCGTGTTGCTTGGACGTCTCTTTGGCCTTCCCTACTACGTACGGATACCGCTTCTATGATACTACCTATTCAAAATGTGGTCCACCACACCAGACGGGAATGGAATCGAAAAAAAGAAAAGAGAGGAAATTGTGTAGAACGATGATGCAGAATGATCCTGCCAAGGCAGGCGTCTTAACATTAGTACGTCCAATTCATTTTTGTTTCTCTTCCACAGCAAGCTTAGAAGACAGCACGAGGCAGCGTACTACGTATACTGATTTGCGGTCTGTTTTCTTCGCCGCTACACTTCCAAGGCTTTTCTTCAAGCCCTGTACCTGCAGAAGCGCATGCAGCTAGACGAGGAGGCGTTCCAATCACGAGAAGAACGGTGTGCAAGTCAGCGCTAGCTCCTACAGCGAAGAGACATGGTTTCTGAGTGTTTAGGAGCTCCGTCGAGTGATCCGAATCGGGTGTCTCGCTGAGTTTGTCGTGCCGCGCAGTCTCAAGATACTGCAAGCTGCGTGGCACCTTGTGATAGTGATGCGCCACGGTCGCATCTGAACACCGTTGCCGAAGTCGCGCAACTTTCCCATCTGAAAGAGTGGCCGCAAAAAAAATTGGAAGCAAGAAAGAAACACCTCGCGATGCAAGAAATCAGACGCAGGCAAAAGACAAACAGCCAGACTTATAAGTCAGATGTCAGTCAGTCCCCTTCTGGTCACCTTTCGCCCCTAAACGAAGAATCTCCACTTTACCCCTGAACCCGTCCTGGCTACGGCGAATGACGTTAAGCTTATCCAGGTTAGCGTGGTTGCTTTTGTACAAAGTACTTCTTCACCCCACGATCCCAAGGCAAGCCCACTGCGCTACCTGTTCCGGTGTACGGAGAGCATCACGGATCCGAGTCTCCGAGGTACCTTTATCGCTTCAGTCTCTATACCTTCTAGAAGTTGGATTCTAAAGACTTCTAGCGGCTTAGCGTGATTAGCATAAGATCACTTTTGTCCGGTTCCATAATTAAAGCCCAGGTATCCCGTGTAAAATCATACAAACCAACAAGTCGCATAACTAACCACAACCCCGCCGAAACGCTTCCTGTGTCCGGCTTGAGACAGACTCGTAACTAGGTTCGGACTGCTTGATATATTCGGTTAACCGCCTGCGTGGTAGGACGCTGTAAAGGCTGCAGAATAACCATTGCCGAAGAAAGGTGATAGATCGTATCGAATCCAGAGCTAAGGGTTTCGCGTTTCTTGCTTGGTTCTCCAGCTGTATATATTGTCAGCCTCTTAAAGGCTTCCCAGCTGGAGAATCGAACTTGGGATATCCCTAGGCTTTAGCTGCCTGTGACTACTTCTTACCAGCGAGTAGTCGGCTTAACGACTTGAGCACCTGGAAATCTGACAGCAGTCTTTTATAGATCTATGGGCAACAATACCAAGGATATGCAATGGGACTGGGAAAGGACAGAAGCACTAACTACCGAACTATCAGTTAGATCTCAACATTCCTGGTCTACTCATTGCCCCCAAGCCAAACATATTGTATATACATTACGATCATAAACTACGAGGACAGATAGTTCTGTGACATCGTGACTACGCAGCGCATAACACCGCGAGGGAGGTCTAACAACTGTAGTTCATTCCGCACAGGCAAGACTGAGTGACGAGAACGGAGGCAGCAAGTAAATCCATAACCCTTCTGGACGGCTTAGAAATCCTGTACTCATCAAGAAATAACAAAGTTTATGCCAAACCAGTTAGTTACTCGATACCCAGGATTGCAGCGTATGCGACTAAGCTAACGCCACCGCCTCCCCGTCATTCTCTCAGATGACTTATACCTGAGAGTGGACATAGACTCAGCCCTCATCTGCTCGCCAACCCCCGTTGGGCCGACCAGTTCGAAACACGACAAAAAGGTAATAGTATATGTCTTGAACCACTACTCCCTGTATATCCGCAATCGGGTTTGAAAGGGCCAATTTCACATCCAGAGAGCCTTGACTACTAACCTCCCACTACACTACCAAGCCCAGAAGAATCTTCTCAGCCTCTTACGATCGACCACTCCTTGTTCACGACGAACCCTTGAATATCTGCCTCTGATTTATGACATCCAGACATGCGATATCCGCAACTGAAAGCAGTTTCGAAGGACTCAGCACGACGAGAATCACACCAAAACAAACACAAGTCTCCGTGATCTGTCCGTGTTGCACTTCCACCTGACCTATCTACTCAGCTTTCGAGCCTTTCGCCAACCTTCCTTCTTGGCGATGGCATTCTCACTTACTCACCGTCTACCCTACCTAATCCCAAGGCAGCTCCGAGAAACGACATGGTATAGACAAGAATGAAACCCCCAAAAGTGTCTGGTACAAACAAAACAAGAAAGAGAAAACCCGCCGACGGGCACAGACTCCGGCTTCCCTACTACTTCTACAAAAAGCCGATTTTCCCTAGCGGCTTATTCGACTTATCGTTCCATGCCGACGTTTTACGTCTTCTCTACTTATCATCATCCACATCCACCAACCGACCCGCATCCCACTTCTGCTTCGCCGCCTTGAGCAGCACATCATAATCGCCACTCGACTCGCACATGCCCCTGAAATGGCCGCTCTCCTTCCGGATCAGCTCGTACGGGTGCGCGTACTCCACCACCACCCCCTTGTCCAGCACCAGCACCTTGTCATAGTCAACAATGGTCTGCAGCCGGTGCGCAATCGTGATGATGGTGCTCGTCTGCTCCCGGATCGTCTCCTGGATCTTCGCGTCCGTGGCGTAGTCGATCGACGCCGTCGCCTCGTCCATCACCAGGACCGACGGGTTCTTGAGGATCGCGCGGGCCAGGCACATGAGCTGCCGCTGGCCCTGCGAGAGGTTCGACCCGGACTCGCTCACCGGCGCCGAGAGGTCGAGGAAGACGTTCTTGTTCGTGGCCGCCCCGGACCCGGTCGGGCTGGGAGGCCGGTCCGCCGCTCCTCCGCCTTCCGCTGCTGTTGTGCCGCTGATGGCGGCCGGGGCCGGCAGCATCGACGACGACGTGGGTGTCTGTGGCCGCGTGGTTGGCTCGTTGGGCCCGATCAGCTGGACCTTGCGTAGGGCTTCGAAGATCTGCTCGTCCGTGTACACGTGGAAAGGATCGAGGTTGCTCCGGATCGTGCCCATGAACAGCGTGGGGTCCTGCGGCACGATGGTGATGGCATCGCGGAGGTCCCGGAGACCGATCAGGCCAATGTCCACGTCGTCGATCAGGATCTTGCCTTCGTCCGCCTCGAGCGCGCGGAAAATGGCCAGCGTAAGAGAGCTCTTGCCCGCGCCCGTCCTTCCCACGATGCCCACCTTCTCCCTGGGGTGGATCTTGAAGCTCAGGTTGCGGAGGACGGGCTCCAGCTCCTTGCGGTACGACGTCGAGTAGTTGATAAACTCGATCGAACCCTGGCTCGGCCAGTTCGCCGGCGGGCGGTTCTTCTCGACAACCGGTTCGGCCTCTTGCTCCACGTCCAGGTACTCCTTGATGCGCTCGACAGAGTTCATGTTCTGTTCGTTCAATGCGTACAGACGCACCAGCCAGAGCACGTTGTCGGTGAATCCAATGGCGTAGCTCAGCGAGATGCCAGCGGCACCTGCGTCGATCTTGCCCAAGCCCAGGATGATGAAAACACCGGCGAAGAACGAGACCAGGTCGCCCAGCAGATCGGTGCGGAACGAAAGCCATCTGTTGCAGGCCCACAGATAGATGAAGGGCCGGGCCTGCGTGTTGATCTTGGTCAGGTTCTCGCGGATGAAGCGGCGCTCGGCGCCGTAGGCCCGGATAGTCGTCATGCCCGACAGGGTCTCGCCAAACTGCTGGAACAAGGGGCTGCGTTGGACCGACTCGAGGCGCTTCAGGTCGCGCGAGGCCCGGATATAGAAGCTGCCGACTACCCAGTAGGCCACCGTGATGAAGACGCCCGCGATGAGGAATCCTGGCGTGATAATGGCGATCAGTATGACGGTAATGACGATGCCCAGGGTGCAACCGATGACTCCGATGGCGATGGGTGCCACCTCCTGATCGACGGCCTCTAGATCCTTGCTAAATCGGTTCATGATCTGACCCAGCGGCGTGACGTCGAAGAACTTGAATCTAGCACGGCAGACGGCCTCCATAAGGCGAGAGTGGATCCTCTTGGACGCAGTCAGAGAGCCGAAGAAAATCCAGAGATCCCGAATGAAAGCAGCGAGCGCCCCCGCCAGGCCGATGATCGCGAGACCGGTGAGGTAATACGCGACGTTGACGTCTTGGACAGCTTGAATGCCAAAGCCGGCCGCGTTCCCCAGGAATCCGTAGTGCGCGATGTGGGCGAGGTAGGTGGGGGTGACGGACTGAGCGCTGTAGCTGTGGGACGACGACGAGAAATCGATCCGGTCGACTTCCTCGGTGACGTATTCGTTCGCCCACTGCCGGACCCAGACGTTGGTCGCCACGCCGGAGAGCTGCTGCAAGGTGAACACGAGGCCGGCGACGATCCAGAACCACCACGGGCCCATGGCGCTGATGTACAGCTTCATGATGGGCCACTTTACCGCCCCCTCAGCCTTGTGTTCCTCCATAGCATCCTTCGGTTGCTTCTTCTTCTTCTTCGCGTCCTGAGCCGCAGTCTTGGCAGCAGTGCCGTTGCCGTGGTGTCCGTTTTCGTCGGCCTGGTTCACAACCGTCTCGGAACTCTCGTCTCCAACGCTAGAGGGGACACGGGACGGAATGCGCGAGCCAACCGCAGTAGCGGGACGAGACCGCTGCAGGTCCTCCCCGAGCTTACCCGACGCGATGAGCTCGTCCGTGGGACCCTGAACAGAAATCCTGCCGTTGTCCATCATGACGACGTAGTGGGACGAGGGTACGGCCAGCTGAATGTTGTGCGTCACCAGGATGCAGGTCCGGCCGGCCATGAGGGGGCCCCGGATGGCGTTGTTGAAGATCCAGTGAGCGGTGTGCGAATCGACAGCGCTCAAGCAGTCGTCGAGCAAAAGATGCTGCGAGTTGGAGTAGAGGGCACGGGCCAGGGAGATGCGCTGCTTTTGACCTCCCGAGAGGGTGATTCCCTTCTCACCGACGAGTGTCTCATCACCGTGGTCTAGGATCTCGAAGTCGCGCTCCAACGCGCATGCCACGATGACGTTTTTGTACCTGTTCTCGTCCATCTCGGCCGAAAAGAGGATGTTTTCTTTGATGGTGGCATTCACCAGCCAGGCGGATTGGGCAACGTAGGCTATGGTGTTGGCTAGCTCGGTCTCGGGATCCGGCCGCACGTCTTCGCGGCTGCGGCCGCCGGGGCAGTAGACCTTGCCTTCCAGCTGGGTCATTTCGCCGAGGAGAGCCATGAGCATAGATGTCTTGCCAGATCCGGTCGGGCCGGCGATCACGTTGAGGTGGCCGATCTCGAAGTCGACATTGATGTCAAGCAGTCGGAAAGCCAGTGAGCCGTCCTCGGCGACGGTGTCCTTGCCGCCCCAGATGAAAGTGGCATCCCGGAAGCCGATGACGCGGTTCCCGTTCTCGTCAATGTTCTCGAGACCCAGCTGCTCGTACTTCTCCGTCTCTTCTTCCATGAGGAATTCTTCGACGCGGTCGAGGGATACCTTGGTCTCTTGCACGTGGGCGAACATGTCGCCAAACTGATCGAGCGGGATGCGAAGAAGCATGAAGAGCGAAATGGCGGTAAAAGCGACGGAGGGATAGAGCGGCTGTTTCTGGATGACGGTGTAAACGAAGAAGGAGAAGAAAGTGATGATGACGGGCACGGAATTCCAGACGGCCACGGCGCAGGACCAAACCAGGAAACGGGAGCGCAGAGCGCGGAGCTCGACAAGGCGCTTCTCGTCCACGATACGGCCGAACCTCTCCTCCCAGGCGAAATACTTGATGATGCGGATGTTGTTGAGGATCTCGTTGGTCACGTTGATGCGCTTGTCGGTGGCAGCCAGGATCTTCTTGGAGGTGATGGAGAAGCCGCGCGCGAAAGCGTAGTTGATGGGAAGGAGGAAGGCCATGACGATGAGGCCGGGAATGGCGCTGAGACCCATGACGCGCCAGAGCAGAACGACGCAGATGATCAGCTGGGTGGGTGCACAGGCGCACAGGAAGTGGAGGTAGGCGGTGCTTTCGGCGATCTTGAAGCTGTCGACGGACATGAGGTTGATGATGGTACCGAGGTTGACCTGCTCGTCGTTGGCCTTGGGAACGACGTCGGCGGAGGGGTCGGCGGAGGGGTCGGCGGAGGGGTCGGCGGAGGGCTCGGCGGCGGCGGCGGCGGCGCCAGTGGATTGGTCATCATCGTCTTCTGCCAGACCCAGCTTCTGCTTGATAGAGTCAAAAATGCCTCCCTTCCCATCATTCTTCTTTTTCTTTCCGGAACTGCCGAGCACGGTGTCCTTGCCGGCGGAAGCCTTTCGGCGAAGCGCCTTGGCGTAGATTTCGCCGACAACAATAGCGCGGATGCGGATGCAAATCTTGCGGCCAATCCAGAGGGCCATGCCGTCGCCAAAGGAGCGGACGAGGTCGAGGACGGGAAGCAAGATGACGTAGAGCCAGATGACGTTGATGGGCGCATTGTCGGGCTGCTCGACGTACTCAAGAATGGCCTTGAGCAACAATGTCGGGGCGAAAGCAAAGACGGCACCAATGACAGCCAAAGAGCACTGGATAATGAGGTCCTTCCTGAAGTACTTGAGCAGATGTATGGCGAGGGACGTCGTGCGCTTGAAGGTCCGGTAGTCGGCGAGTACGGCGGCGGCCTTGTCCTTGGGGAGGAGGTTCCAAACGGCCTTCATTTCGAAGGTCTCCTTGTATCCTCGCCAGACAATCGGGTCAACCCACGAGAAGGTAGCCAGTGAGAGCAGCGAGGCGAGGGGCTCGCGAGAGGGCTCGACGCCATCCTCCCACTCAAGCAGGACGGTCTTGTTACCCTTGCGGGTGGTAATGGCCATGCCGAAAAGCAAGGAGGTCAGGGCAAACTCGACGATGACCAGGATCTGGACGGTGCGGGAACTCGGGTGAATGATGGCCGAGCGGAAGATGGCAACGGTGTAGAGCCATTCGCAGCCGTAGATGGTGGCGGTATGAAACCAAAGACGGGGGAGGCGCCACCTTGTGTTTCCCAGGACGAGACGAAGGGTGGCGAGGGCAGCGACGTAGAGCCAGACGACCAGGCCGGCAATGGCGGCAAGATGGCCGCGTTCGCCATATCCGCCGGTAAGCAGAGCAATGATGTGGATGGCGACCAGACCGGCGACGGCGAGTTCCTCGACGTACATAGACAAGCTCTGGGCTTGGGGGCTGTCGGCCTGGACGACGGAGACGACGGAGCCACGAGTGGTGGTCTTGACGAGGGACAGACGGCCGCCACCATTGCGATTCAGTGTCAGGGGTTCGTCGTCGTCATCGTCGTCTACTGCTTCCTCCTGCTCCTCGGGAGGGATGTCGGTATGTGCGGCAGCGGTGTTCTCCTGCGCATGTTCATGATCGGGGTCCGTGGGTAATGATTGGTAGCCAGCCTTTTGGCGGAGGCGTTTGGCGGCGCGGGGTGCGTTCTGAAGGAAGAGGACGAGGAGCGAGATGGCGATGGTGATGAGGGGAAATAGGACCTTGAGGTAGCTAAGGAGAGGAGGAGGATTCCCACGTCAGCAGCGCACGGTGTTTGATTAAGGTAACCAGCGCAAGATGAGACCAAGGAAAGGATCATATGCCGGTAGTGGCAAGGACCAGCGAAGGGGTGGGGGTGGGGTGGCACGTACTCTTGCTGGAAGCAACGAGAGAAGTCATCGACCTGCCATATTGGCCCCTCACAACGGGCGAAGCCCATGTTGAAGTGAGAATGTAACTTTCCGGACTCCAAATCCGAAGTAGACTCGTCACACAAGCGAGGGTCGCCTTGCGGCCGCCGTACGATCCAAGCAGAAGAGAAACACAGTAGAACAAAGGCCAGCCAACTGCGCGTGACGAGAAAATGGTGACAAGTTGAGGTATGGGTCGTAGTCGCGGTCGTCGCGTATTCGCGATGCTGTTAAACCACGTTGGAGGCGAGGGAGAGACGGATAGAATGGCCGGTCAGGAGCGGGATAGCTCTAGAACCCATGGAGAATTACCGTCTTCAACATGGATTGAATGGATCGAACGATAAAATAATATAAGGACAAAGAGAAACTTAACAGAGGAGCGAGGGATAGAGGGGAAGAAGAGAGTAAGGATTCGAGGAAGGGAGATGAACGGGTAGAGAGGATGGGTAAAAAAAGAGGCAGGAACTTCCCAGGACTCGAGGTTGCCGTCGGAAAGTGAAAATGAAAATACCTTTACTCTACGATACGGAGTACTTTTAAGTCCCCACGCACCCCACTTTGTAGCCCAGCATGTTGGCACTGAGTGGATTGAGATGCCAGATAGGTGGCTTGGTATGGAGTACATGGAAATACCCACTCCGTCTTATGTCTTGGTCTTGGTAAGGTACAACGTACAGCGGTGAGTTTGTCCCGCTGCAGAATCCGAGTCATCACCGGTGTTCGCAGGACACACACACACCATTCCGCTCGGTTTGCCCAGTAGAAACACAGTGCGGATGCGTCGAAGGGCTTTTGCCCCGCCACTACAGTTGCTCAATTGACAATTGCCATCTCCCCCGCCCCACTCCTTAAGTGTTGAATTGACGGGAGCGTGCTTGCAGGGAGCGTTGATTCAGGAAATGTATGATTATATTGTATATAAAAGAGAAAGAAAAAGGGGGCGGGTGTACGTGTCCTAAATATATCTGCCACCTTCTAAGCGAGGATAGTAGGGCACCTCTAACTAATAGGAGAGCACTATACCGTGGCTCACGTGATAGAATATAATATACCCCCTAATTATTACGCTGTGATTAGCGGAACGATTACTTAGCCTAACCTTAACCTAGCCGTATTTTCAACCTCAAAATAGCCTTAAAGGGTCGTGTGATGCCCTTGATATCGAGTTGAAAGGTAGGAACAAAAGCTGTAAAACAATAAAAATAATAATAATAGTAGTAAATCATAAAGGAAAAGTGCTATTAATAGTAGTAGTAAATAAGTGATAGTGGGGCCTTCCGTAGATAAATTAAAGGCGTTATACCGGCGTTTTGGAGCTTTTGGATCTTCCCTCTTATAACCCTTGTTCTGTTGTTTTTTGAGGATTTTTTGACGATTTTAATCCAAATTTTCCAAAATTTTCTATTAATAGCAATAAAAAAAATAATAGCGATATAGTGAGTATCGGAGCTTTGTTTTTAGTGGCGCGTGCTAACTAGTAGCGTCGTTTAGGCTCCCCCTACCCTCTCGGCCGTTACCCGTGCCGCGGCAGCTAAGAAAGCCTCGGCTAATAGTATAAAGAAGACCAAGGGTAAAGCCGGCACTAAGAAGGGTGCTTTTATAAGTTATTTCCGAGCGTTGGTCTGCGATGTCTCTGCTCTATTCTAAGCTGACTCCTTAGAAGACTGCTAAGGGCAGTAATAATAATAAAAAGGATGCCGAGGATGATTTTATTCCGGTTCTATTTGATCCGCCCTGCCTGGAATACGTAAAGGGCATTTATTCGGGGAAACAGCGCTCGTTTAATTATTGTGTTTCTATTTCTGGCCGCTCCTATCACTACTAAAAGTGCAAGGATAGAAACTATATATACTACCCTCTATAAGTTCTTACCCCCTATCTAAGGCGCTTTACGATCGTAATCGTATACTCTATTTCGTATTAGCTCGAAGATATATACGCTATTAAGCTTTACGACCGCTAACCTATACTTATAGTTTTACTGGCCTCGTCTCTTTGGTCAAAATTCTTTTTGACTGTGTCATAGTCCGTAAGATTGATAAGGACTCTGACGACGACGATAAGAAGGTGCGTTTTTCGCTTTATTTCCAAAGTTGAATGCTCTGACTAACTGGTTTCGCGCAGTTCTTCGCCAAGCTCAAGTAAATGGTAAAGTATATCTCCGCCGTTCTAAAGCGTAACGAGCAGTTATAACCCGAATACCAGATCCCAACCTTATATAACAGAGCTTCCGATATAATATTCGTGTAAAATCCCTCTATAACGACTATATCGTTAAGCTCTAAGTTAGCTTTCGGAGCACCTAAAGGTCTATTAAGGATTTCTTTAAGAAGCCGTTTACCTTTACTAAGAATCGGAAAGTCGGTTATACCGGATTCGATAGATCCCTTTATAGGAATGAAGGAACCTAGAATAAGTAGGTCGATTAAGTTAATAAGGTAAGTTACGCCGTAATTATTAAGAAGAGTGCTCTATAAGAGTGGGTAGGAGCCTAGTCGGAGCGCGGCGTAGATCCTAGGGACCTCTTCTATAGTGTAGATAAGGGCGGGATCTAGGATAGTTATAATAACCTTCCCAGGATACCTATCTCCTTTACTACTACCGCTCTCCGAGCTTTCCTATCCCTTTTTCGATAGTTTTTCGCGTAAGCTTTTCCACTTTAGGAGCTTAATCTCCTTCCGTATCTCCTCACACCACTTATTATTAACGTAGGTGTTAGATCTCTGCTCGTATTTTCCGGTTAAAGCGTACTCCAGCTTAATATAGTGCTCTGGCTTCTAAGTGTGTTCGCGTCGATAGGGGTAATTAGTACTCTTCTTCTTGGGCTTTTTTCCGCCTTTGTTATTATCTAAGCGGTCTTTTAGGGTCGCGTAAACGCTATAGCATATACTATCCGTGGTTAGAGCGCTTATAATAGCGTTAAACTCGCGGCCGTATATTAGAAGATCGGAAATCTTATCG